CAATAAATGCAGCTCTCGTTCTCTCCTCTCACTTCCCTCCCCCGAGCTCCTAGTCCATTCTCTTCCATCTGCCCCACACCTTGCTCCATAAGCACTTTCTAAGCCTCCCTCTCCACTTGCTCCCTGCTTTTAGCCTACAAATGTCTTCAAACTCTCAGCTAAAAATAGTCCCTCTCCCAGTCCAACGCCCATCCTCTAAAGCTACCTTTCCATTTCTCTGCCTCCCTTTACCAACACACTCCTTAAAGGAGTTAACACTTCCCATCCACGTTGCATCAAGGACCCTCAGGACCCTCAGCTCTGGAGCCTGGACTGGGGGGAGGGGAGGGTAAAAAGGAAGTCAAGACACAACCACTGTCTCCAAGGAGGAAGGCCAGTGGTTTGGGAGTCAGTGGTCTGCTGACTGTCTTGACTTCTGAACTTCCATTTACTTTTCAACTTTTCACAACCAGCTAACTTTCCAACCCCCCTCCCCCCCCTTCTGCTAGAACTTCTGGTAAAATAATTAAATCCCAAGGTCTCTCATTAGTACTCATCCTGTGCTGAAGCAAGCTATACCATTGATCACTTCTTTTCAAGCACACCCTTTTCTCAGCTAAAAGTTTACTAAGGCCTCTAACCCAATCCCACTGAGCCAATGATTTCACTTTCCTGATTGAAAACCCATAATGTCTCTGTCTACTGCCTATGGGAAAAGCGTGAAGTCTTGAGCAAGTCTTTAAAGGCCTTCCATAATCTGGTCTTTTTCTTTCTTCACTTCTCTCTCAAGCAGCCTATGCTCCAGACATACAGAATAAATCACCACTTTCTGAGTATGCCCTGTGTTATCCGCTGTATGGCTTATGTTCACCCCATTATCTGGGAAGTATGCCTTTCTCAGAGCTGCCTAGTGGGTGGGGAACGTCCACAGCCCCTCGAAATCTTTTGGTCTGGCCCTGATGAGGCCTCACTAAAGAGAAGCAGTACCAGGCATCGCATTAGGGGTGAGTTAATTAAATGTTTGACTAAATACAACAGGCTAATTTTTAAATATATATATATATATATATATATACACACACACACACACACACACATATATATATTATTGATTTCAGAGAGAGGAAGGGAAAGGGAGAGAGAAACATCAGTGGTGAAAGAGCCTTCATTGATCGGCTGCCTCTTGCATTCCCCCTGCTGGGGATTGAGCCCACAACTGGGGCATGTGCCCTGACCAGTAATCGAACCTCGATCTCCTGAATCACAGGTCGATGCTCAACTACTGAACCACATCAGCAGGGTTAACAGGCTAATTTTTAAGTTGATAATTTTGTATGGCCTTCGAATAATGTTATAAATATCCAAATGGCCCTTGGCAGAAAAAAAGGTTCCCCACCCCTGGCTATTAGTTAAATCCATCCTTCTAAGTCTGCTTCTTCAGCCCTATTAAAAATAACCTAAACTTCTCTATATTCTCATAATTCTTTATTGATTTGAGAGAGAGAGAGAGAGAGATTTGTTGTTCCACTTATTTATGCATTCATTCATTGCTTCTTGTATGTGCCCTGACCAGGGATCAAACCCACAACCTTGGTGTATTAGGGTGACACTCTAACCAACTACCTGGCTAGTGCTGTAAGATGGTAAATAGTTTTGCCTCATTTAGGAACTCTGACTTACCTTCATTGTTTATTTCTTTAGCAGCTACAAAGTACTGATGGTAGGCTTGTTTCCTCCAGTAGTTCAATGCTGTGCTGACACCTGCTGGTCACATCTGATTTGGCAGCTCTGGCCCCAGCACCTTCCTCTCTCAACTATTAAGGGTGGGGACAGCGTGCCACCCTAACCCAGCCAGGCACTGGAAGCATATGCTCGTGGTAACATTGCCCCACTGTATCACCCTTCCCTGGAGACTCCAGGAACACATTCAGGTCTGTTGGTCTTTGGCTTGCCTCTGGTATCTCTGGCTTAAGTTCAGTTCAATCTTCAGAACTTTCCCCATTGACCCACCTACCCCAGTAATTTGTACAAGATTTCAAGGAATTGGGCAGCAAGCAAAGAAACAAGCAGAGACAAACAATTTGAGAACAGGGTATAATCACTCCTTCTCACCTCAAAGAATCAAGACTATTTCCTACAGAATGCGATTCCTTTTGACCTATGTTGTATTTCTAGGAGGTTCTTGGGCCATAAACCTTCTTGGTAACTGTAGGAAGAACCGGAGGTTGAGCAGAGAGTAGGTAGGCGGGGCTTGAGGGGTGGGGCCAGGCCAAAGGGCCTCTTACTTAGGAGTTTCTCCATTCGGTCAGCTCTTCCGGAACATCCAAGGCAAGACTGGCACCCAGTGCACAGCAGGTGAGGGACGGGCAATGACAGAAGGGTAGGCTTTAGGGGCGATGGTGGCAGAAGAGTCCTGGCTCTGTCAGCCTGATCTTTTCATATTGTGAGATTGACTTGATAGCAGTCTTGGGTTCCTAGTGGAGAGGTCCAGCTCCGTTTACCCTGGGGCAAGGCAGCCTCAGAAAGACAGACATGGTTTGGCATGGGTGGGGGCAGGGCTGAGGCCAGGGGGTAGAGATGTGTGTGTGACAGAGTACTGAGAGATGAAAGGAAATCTTAGGAGACATGGAGGTAAATGTAAGGGACAGAGAGAGAGAGCATGGCCGGAGGATCATAGGGCAGGTCCCAGACAGGAGAAAATGGGAGACTGAAATAGAGAGAGGGAGAGGACAGCGGACCAAACAACTGAGAGCTGGGTAACAGGAAGGCCAAGGAGGAAGGAAGGCCCAGATGGAGCAATCTCTTCTCTGGGCTGTGGAACATGGTTCAGAAAGCCCCAGGCAGAGCCAGGAACAAAGCGAGGTTCCAGGTTCCCATTGGACTGACAGCTGGGGAAGAAAACCCCCTAGGTACCCATCTCGCCTGACTCTTCAGACTCCCATTTTGGTTTTGGGGGAGAGGGTGAGGCTGCTCCTCACTGCGGTCACAGCCACATCCTGCAGAGCAGGGGAGGGGGAAGTAAGAAGCAAAACAACTAGAACCAGAGGCAAAGACCACGGGGAGAGAACCCTGGACATGTGCAGCTGATGGGCTACCAGGAGGGTCCCCAGTTCAGCCTCCAGTACCGCCTGCCACCAGCTGAGGTGCTTGTTTCTCATGCTTTCTCAGTGTGCTTCAACAGCACTGATGGCATTCCAGGGAAGGAAGTTACTTTGGATTATTTGGTTTGAAGCCCATTTTTATCATTTGCTAGTGATTTGGCCAAGTTGCTGGATTTCGCTTGGTTTCAGTTTTCTCATTGTAAAATGGGGATACCTATCTTACAAAGGGTTAGGAAGACTGAGATAATTCACATAAAGCACTTGGCACACCGTAGGTTCTCAATAAGTGTTATTTTTATCAAGACTCCAGAGGCCCCTCGCTTATTTATTTCTCGCTTATTTAAAGGCAGTACATCACACTAGTTGACATGGAGTCAGAAAAACAATAGTGTTTGACCTTGGGTAAATTATTTAAACCTCAGTTTGCTCAGCTATAAAACAAGGATAGTAATACCTATGCCTCATAGATGTATGGTACATGGTCAGTGTCCAAAAACAGTAGCTGGGAGAATTCTTTGCCAGGTAAGACTTATCTTCTCCACTGGAGGAGAAATAGCCTACTTCCCCTTAGAACTTAATTTGTGGTGGGCTAGCCTCCTGTGTGTCCCCATTCCTCCTTCCTCTAGGCTTCTTTAGAGATCAAGATTTCTTACTGTAGCAGAGGAAAAAAATAACAAGGCATAGGGGACTGAGGGGCCCAAGGGGAAAAGATGACAAGCAAAGATGATGACGAGATAGAAACCAAAGAGCCAGAAAGGGGAAAAGCCATTTCTCTCTTTCTAAGGAAGCCTGTGGCCTTTCTTCTGGCTGACCACATACTCACACTCCCACCCCACCCCCTCTCCAGGAGCCATGGAGTCCTTCAGCTCAAAGAGTCTGGCACTGCAGGCAGAGAAGAAGCTACTGAGTAAGATGGCCGGTCGATCTGTGGCTCATCTCTTCATCGACGAGACAAGCAGCGAGGTGCTGGATGAGCTCTACCGTGTGTCCAAAGAGTATACGCAAAGCCGGCCGCAGGCCCAGCGGGTTATCAAGGACCTCATCAAGGTGGCCGTCAAGGTGGCTGTGCTGCACCGCAGTGGGTGCTTCAGCCCCAGTGAGCTGGCCCTGGCTGCCCGCTTTCGCCAAAAACTGCGGCACGGCGCCATGACTGCGCTCAGCTTCAGCGAGGTGGACTTCACCTTCGAGGCTGCCGTGCTGACCAGCCTGCTGACCGAGTGCCGGGATATGCTGCTGGAGCTGGTGCAGCACCACCTCACGCCCAAGTCACACAACCGCGTCCGCCGCGTGTTCGATCACTTCTCTGACCCGGGCCTGCTCACGGCCCTCTATGGGCCCGACTTCACTCAGCACCTTGGCAAGATCTGTGACGGGCTCCGGAAGCTGCTGGATGAGGGAAAGCTCTGAGAGCCCTCACCCCAGCACGTTCCACCTCGAGGACATGGCTGCCTGGGAACGCAACAGACAATGGGCTTTCTAAACTCTGCTCGTCGGCACTAACGCTATTCAGTCCTCAGGCTTGCTTCCCCAAGAGTGTTTTTGACTCTGACACCCCCCCACCCCCAAGTTGCTGGTGGAGAAGCAATGCTGAGGGTTGAGGCCCCTCTCCCACTCCAGCCCCAGGGCAGGAAACACAGCTGCCTGAAAAGATGAAGTGAAACTTGGATCTCTTATTTCCTCCATAAGGGATGTTTGAAACAGGGAAGCCCCCTCCCTTACGAACCCTGGGCAGAGGGCATAGCACATTTTACCCCTCTAGGGACACCAAAGACAAAAGGGGTGAGGGGCCCTTTGAGACATCCTAGACCTCCAGCTCTAGGCAGAGCCAGAACTGATACCAGAGGCTCTGTTCTGGAGTTCAGGAAGAAGGCGCTAGGGCACGGGAGAGTCTCAAAGGGGAAATAAAACTACTAAAACATGCACAGGGCTCAGTGTTTAATCTCTCCAGCTCCTTATATTTTATGACCATCATGGTGGTATATAAACACCACTTATCTCAGCACTCACCATTTCCATACAGGAGATTTCAGGCATATTTCCAGTATCATTGGGGTTCCCTTGCCTACTTCTGTGTAAGAAACAAACACTACTCCGGATCAGTGCTACATTGCAAAAAATACGCAGTGAGGAGCAAGGCATAGATCGAAAGGCTCTGGTGGGGAGGGGGTATAACAAAAAAATGCCCACAACAAAAGGACTCCCACAACTGTCCTCTTCGAACTCCAAGACAGTTCTTGTTATGTCCCTTAGCCTCACACAGGCTGAACAGAGGAGCAGGTTAGAATTGAGGAGTCGGATACCTACATCACTGTTTTTTTCTCATAGAGTTGTGAAGAAGTTATAGTGAACTGGTTAGCCACGACTAAGCCCAAATTCTTTACTTTGAGACTGAGGAAAAGGCCTGGCACAGTCTACCACTTCTTCAGTGGATTAGATCACTGATTATCCCACCCTCAATAACATGCTTGGCTAAGAAGGTAGACAGCCAACAGTCACTAGCTCACTGTTCCTGGGTTTCTCTCACACATGGCTATAAAAAAATCTCATTTTTAGCTAAGAGTGGGAAAGAATAAAGTACAGCAAATAAATATTACTTCAATATAGCACCAAATAAATTAGGTAACATAGTTGGAGATGGGCAAGAAGTTGGGGGTTGGGGGTAGTCCCTGCCTCCCTGTTCTAAGGCCAACCAATGGTGAGAGGGATGGGAAAGGCAGCAGGGATGTAAAAAGAACCTTTGAATCTAAAGGACAACTCTAGATTCAGCCCAAGAACTGAGAAGGGGTCAATTCCCCACCCCCCACTCTTGCCAATAAAACTGCCTCAGGCTGAGGTACTCTTGATGGGACCATGAGCTGGGCAGGAGTGAGGATAGGCTGGGAAGCTGTGTTCTTGAGCCTCACCTCAGGCTCCCCTTCCCCTCAAGTTGCTCCTTCACCATCTTGCTTCTCTCAGTCAGCTCTGGAGGCATCAGAGTTTGAAGATTTCATCCTCTTGGTCCCGAAGTGTCCGGGTTCGAGAGGTCCGGGTCAGTGGCACAGGGCCTAGGACTGCTCGTTGCTGCACCCGAGGGGAGCTCCGGTGGAGACCTGAATCCTCCCCAGGTACCCTGCAAATGAGGAAGGGGGAGAGACTGAATGTCAAGGGAAGAACCTGAGAACAGGCAAGTGATGGGAGGTGTGGGAAGCTGTCCTCCTTCCCTAGCATATCCAAGCTGGTTGGTCAAAGATGGACTCTCAGTCCCCTCTGGGTAAATCCAAATCCTACTGCTCCTCCATGGACGATCAGAACAGTAAGAACAGTCGAGTATCTTACTCCAGTGAGAACACAAAACCGTTTCCCACTGCCTCTAGCCATTCTAGCAGCCACTGGCTCTGCTCATGGTCTTGGGGCCACCGGAGGAAAGGATTCACCTCGCTTCTGCTGACACTGTGCTTTCTTACTCGTGTATCTGGTCAGGCAAGGCTGGAAGAACAGAGACATCTAAGAAGGGACTTCAAAATAATCAGTAACACTCACCCACTTTCCTCTTTTTTCAGCTTCTGGGTAGCAGCCTTCTTTGACAGGCTGATCTGTGAATCAAGCTTCTTAAGGAAATCAGAGGCAGAGAGGTCATGGATGGGAGTGGGGGATTCCTGGGCAGGTGTGGGAAGGACTTCACCATTGGCACGTCCTGAGCCTGTCTCCTGTTTCTTCCTCTCAGCTGAGTGTGGCCAAACTTCATCCTTATTTGGCTGTATCTCTTCCTCTCCATCTTTCTCTTCCTCAGAATCCAAACCAGTGAACAGGTCTCTGGGCTCTGTCAGGATGGGGATGTAGAGGGTTTTCTTCAGGAAGATGGAGTCATTAGTATAAAGGCGGTTTGCACGTTTAATCTGTTCCATCTTAAAAAAAATAGTCACCACAATTAATGACAGTAATAATGATAAATGTTATATTTCTATAGCATCTAATGCCTTTAAAAGTACAGCCCTGGCTGGTGTGGCTCAGTTGGTTGGAGCGTCGTCCCATACAGCAAAGAGTTGGGGTTCAAATCCTGATCAGGGCACATCCGCGGTCAGGGAGGTACAGGAGGCAAGCCAGCCTGTCAATGCTTCTCTCTCTGTCCCTTCTTCTCTCTCTGAAATCAATGAGAAACATATCCTTGGGTGGGGATTTAAAAAAAAAAAGTAATTGTACAGAGTCTTATCTGACCCTATAACAACCAAGCTAAAGCATAAAAGGCTGATCTTATTCCGACTTTATTGATCAGTGGTTTTCATGCCTTTTGGTCTTAGGACACTTTTACATTTTAAAAAAGTATTGAGGAAAGTCCTGGCTGAGTGGCTCAGTTGGTTGGAATGCCGTCCCGTACACCAAAAGTTTGTGGGTTTAATTCCAGGTCAGGGCACATACCTAGGTTTTGGGTGCAACCTCTGGGAGGCAACCAATCAATGTTTCTCACATCAATATTTCTCTCTCTCCCTTCCTCTTTCTCTCTCAAATCAATAAATATATCCTTGGGTGAGGATTAAAAAAAATTATTGAGGAAAAAAGCTTTTCTTTATATGGATTATAGCTACCAATATTTAAGGTATTATAAATTAAAACTGAAAAAGTTTAAAAACTTATTTGAAAATAATAAACCCATTACATGTTAACATAAATATTTTAATAAAAAATAACTATATTTTCTGAAATAACAAAAAATGTAGTAAGAAGAGAGGCACTGCTTTACATTTTTGCAAATCACCTTCATGTCTGACTTAATAGAAGACAACAGGATTCTCATATCTGTCTCTACATTCAATCTCTTGCACTATCACATGTGATGTAGCCTTTTTTTTTTTAAACTTTTTTTTTAATTTAATTAAAACTGTATCTCAACAGTTTCAGCTGGCTGTCTGTACTGTTCCTAGCTGATTAGAATAAACTGAAATTCCCAATTCACATGTGATGTAGCCTCTTGAAAACACAGTACACTCATGAGAATGAGAATGAAAAAGGCAAATATAAATCTCATTATTTCTATGAAAATAGTTTTGACCTTGTGGATCCCTGAAGAGTTTCAGGGATTCCTAGGGGTCCCTAGGCCTCACTTTGAGAACTTCTGTTAAAGATGAAGGAACTGAGGCTCAGAGATACTAAGTTACTTGTCTAAGATTATCTAGAAAGTTAATGACGGAGCTAGGGCCTTTTTACTCCTTCTGGGAATGCTTTCCACACTACAATATTAATAATTTCATTGACCAAATACTTATTTAGTACCTACTTATTCACTGAACATGGTGACTGGCATTACCATCTAACTTCCTCCCAAGGTAGAAATATTGTCACCCTCAACTCATACTTTTCTTTCACCACCCATATCCAAGTGGTCAACAAAAGTGCTGCAAAACTCTCTCATGTCTGGTTTTGTCTTCAGTCTACTGCCATCACTTTAGAACAACTAATATTTCTCATCTGGGTATTGAGAGTTTGGCCTTTCTCCATTTCTACTCATCCTTCACCCTGCTGACATCTTTCTTCTTTTTCTTCTTCTTTTTTTAGAGAGGGAGGAAGGGAGAGAGAGAGAGAGAAATACCAATGTGAGAGAGATACATTTATTGGTTGCCTCCCACCTGCACTCCGTCAGGGGGAAGAGGCCCGCAACCTAGGCATGTGCCCTGACCGGGAATCCAACAGTGCTCCAACCAACTGAGCCACACTGGCCAGGGCACATCTATCTTTCTTAAAAAATTAATCTGATCAACTTATTACCCAACTTATAAACCTCCTATGGCTACTCAATGGCTCAGTTAAAATCCAAATTAGCATTCAAGGGCATCCTCAGTCTAGCCCCCATAATGTCTAGCCTCATCTCACTTCTTCTCCCACCTATACATTTTGCCATTCTGAACTTCTCATTTTTCTTTGAGTATTTCATAATCTTTCACACTTTCGTGTCTTTATCTGCCTGAAATGCTTCTCCACTATCCCCTTCTCTGCCTGAAAAACTTCTACTTATCAACTCTCTCTCCCTCTGTGTTACCTTCTTCAGGCTCCCATATTGTAAGTATCATTGTAATAATACCTATCCTATTATATTATTATTCACCTCTTCGCATATTTGCTCAGACTCTGTGAGTCCTTTAAGGCAGGGATGGTGACTTGCTGTCTGTATCTCTAAGGTGCTCCTCAACATCGCACAAACTTGGCACATAGCAGAAACTCATTAACACTTTATGAATAAACAAACTAGGTAATAAAATATAGAAACCACAGATACAGTATGTCAATATATTATTATCAGAGGCCAGGCAGCCAGTTATATTAAAAACTCATCCCATATTGGCATCAGTTTGGGAAATCATATTTCTTATGTCTGTCAAACATCTAAGCTGTTTACACCCTGGGGCAAGACTATTATAATAAGCTTGATTAACAAAATCTTATGCTATGATATGATTTAAAAATAAAATCAGATTGCCCAGCCAGTGTGGTTCAGTGCCTGAGTGTTGACCTATGAACCAGGAGGTAGGTCATGGTTTGATTCCCAGTCAGGGCACATGCTCAGGTTGCAGGCTTGATCCCCATTAGGAGGCCTGTAGAAGGCAACTGATCATTGACTCTCTCTCATCATTGATATTTATTTCTCTCCCTTCCTCTCTCTGAAATCAATAATAAAAAAAATATTAAAAATAAAATCAGATTAATCTGAACAATAAAAAGAGTTAAAATTGGCTTGCAGTTTTGTACTTTGCCAAGTGCTTTGATGCTATTAATTTTATTTTGCCTAGATAAGATCCTAGGTCCCTTCTAGCTCCTAGATGTGATATTAATCTGTAAGCTTTCTGTGGCTTCTGTTATTTCCTAAAAGTACCATATAAGGGGGCATCATTCCACTCTTAAAAAGGATGTAACCAAGGCCAAAGCCCAGAGGAGTCCTAGGCCATCAAGGGAGCCTTTACGAGCTAGAAAGGCCATTAGAATCTAGTTAGTTTAACAGAGCAGTACAAAGTGAGAATTTTAGAATGAAACGACCTGGTTTGAATCCTAGTTCTACTAATTAGACTTGTGCAGTCTATGGCAAGTTATCTCCCTAAGCCTCAGTTTCCTTGCCTTTAAATGGGAATAGTTACACCTATCTACCTCATGAAGTCTTATGAAGATCATACAAGATAACATTTAGAGCCTGGAACACACTATGTGTTCTTTATATGATACACAGGTAACAATTTAGTAAATTATCATTATTTAATACATCTTCTTCATTTTACAAATGGTGAGGAAACTGAGGCCCCAGACAGGGGAAATGACTTATGCAGTCACTCAGCTAGTAGGCAGCACAATGAGACCAGAACCTAGACTTCTTCTTCCCTAGACTAAAGGGATTTTGTGCTCAGAAAGGTACAGGGCTGTAAGAAAACCTCAGTCAGTAAGTGTTGATTCACTAGTAGCACAGTTCCCCTCTCCATACAGCTTCTGAGTCTCTGCTGCTAGGGAGGGGCTGCTCAGTACTTTCATATTGACTGACTTTGTTTAGATCATGCCGTCTACCTGAAATGTTCAGTTTCCTGAACCCCCAGTCTCCATATGTGGAAATCTTAGCCAGACTTTCACATATTAAAAAACAATCTATTACGCTTTATGTGTTGGGGACTATGCCACACTCTAGAGATATAAAATTGAAAGAAGGCCCTGGCCGGGTAGCTCAGCCAGTTAGAGCATGGTCCCTATACACCAAGGTTTTTTTGGGTTCTATCCCTGGTCAGGGTGCATACAAGAGTCAACCAATGAATGCATAAATAAGTGGAACAACAAAATTGATATTTCTCTCTCTCCCTTCCTCTCTCTCCCTCTAAAAAAATCAGTAAAGCCCAGCCGGTGTGTCTCAGTGGTTGAGCATCAACCTATGAACCAGGAGGTCATGGTTAGGTTTCTGGTCAGGGCACATGCCTGGGTTGCAGCTCTATCCGCAGTAGGGGGCACGCAGGAGGCAGCTGATCAATGACTCTCGTCATTGATGTTTCTATTTCTCCCTCCCCCTTCCTTTCTCTGAAATCAATAAAAACATATTTAAAAATAAAAGTGAAAAAAAATTTTTTTGAAAGAAAATGGTTCTGTCCCTTAAGGAGAGTATAGGCTATTGGAAAGTCAAAGATGTAAATGTGTAAACAACTGGATTAGATGGGTTTGTAGAGAGAAGCAGAGGAAGGAAGTTCTAAGTCTTTCAAGGCCTTTCATAATGGCTCCCTTGAAATGTGCACTGATGTCTACCCCTACTCCCTTCCAAATAAAATTAATCTTTTTAAATTTCCCACCCTTTGTTAATACCGCTACAAATTCACCACATTCTGTCACCTACAATCATTATTTGTGGCCCCATTCATTTCTCACTAGACTGTAAATTATATGAGGGCAAAAACTATACATTTTATTTATCTTTGTATCACCCAAGATGGTTACCAGATTACTTTAAACCTACCAAACATTAAAATGTGGGCTAATGTGGGGTGGAGGAGATCAA